CTAAGGCTCCGGTGCGACTTGGGGGGGGGGCGCCTATAGCCAACTCTGCGAAAACAAAGGTATGGGGGCTGTGACTTCACAGACCCCGTATCCTAGGCATAAACAGATGACCTGCAGAACCTGCAGGTCATCTGAGTCCATTTACTTGCGAAAACGGAAAATGGACTTTACTGAACTGTTCACCTTGGGGCCCGGACGGCGCCCGAAAACAGCAAGTAGGGGCAAACGACGACGAAATCCGACCAAATTTGGTAGGGTGCTTCCATAGGGCACAAACAGAGAGCCCACCAAAATAGGACTGATTCTGATTTTGTTTAGGTTAGGAAATGCAAGCCTGTGATTTTCGGTTTTCCCTCCTTAGGCAAAAATGGCAAAAACGGCAAAATCTGCAAAATCAGCAGATCTGCAATCTGCAAAGATTGCGTTTTTTTTTTTTTTTTTTTTTTTTTTACAAAAAACGGGTCCTTATAGGCCTGGCTCCTTTTCCATTCTGGGGAGCATCAGTCCGGTTCCTATTCCCCCGACATGTCATAAAGGAATATTACATCATGAAACACACTCACGCTTCCTTCCGTATGGACCCTTGACCAGCAATGATTGCTCCCTTGAGGGAGAATTGATTGTCAGCTTGCCCTAACAACTTGCTCCTCTCAGGTTCCTTTCTTGGGCCTGTCAATAGGACCTATTCAAAACAAAGTCTGTGTTTTCTGCAAGTTTGTACTTTTTGCATATCTGTTGTAGGACTAGTACTGCAAGTCTGAGGTTTTTGAAGTCTGCGACAAGGGAAAACTTAGGGAGACAAAGTCGGACGCGTAAAGTAGGACGAAGTATCGGACACCTCACACCATCTTCCTCCTCCATCTTTTTCACCCATCCACCATAGCCAACCACCCCGTTGTCGTACCAAATACCCTTACAAGTGTATTTGGTGCATTTTGTAAGTCACGTTGGTGCAGCCTCGTCCGAAGTTGACGGCGCACTCGCGAGTGAGAGTTGAGTCCTTAACCGGATGAGTGGCGCGCATGGGGTATCGACGGCGAGGCTCAACCAAGCGCGGCCTAGTGGGGCGTGGCGGCGCAGGCCAGCGGGATGTGCGCCCCTGATATCCGTACTTTTTTTTTTGTGTTCCCTCACATTTATATTTATTTTTTTATTTTTATAATTATTAGTCCTACTTTATTTATTTATTTTTCAGATGTCTTGGACTCGGTAATGCGTTCCGGGACTAACGTCAGGAGCGACTGGCCTGGCTCAGTTGCTTCATACAAAGTACATCTCTTACGAGGAGTTTCTTTCATATGTCAAGGGCTGGTAAGGTTTTGCGCGTTGTATCAAATACGGTCGGACACGGGCCGTCGCGGCAGTCGAGGATCTTGAGCGCGCACTTTTGTTATTTTGTAAGTCACGTTGGTGCAGCCTCGTCCGAAGTTGACGGCGCACTCGCGAGTGAGAGTTGAGTCCTTAACCGGATGAGCGGCGCGCATGGGGTATCGACGACGAGGCACAACCAAACGCAACCTAGTGGGGCGTGGCGGCGCAGGCCAACAGGATGTGCGGCCCCTAATCTCCGTACTTTTTTTTTGTGTTCCCTCACATTTATATTTATTTTTTTATTTTTATAATTATTAGTCCTGCTTTATTTATTTATTTTTTAGATGTCTTGGACTCGGTAATGCGTTCCGGGACCAACGTCAGGACCGACTGGCCTGGCTCAGTTGCTTCAAACAAAGTACATCTCTTACGAGGAGTTTCTTTCATATGTCAAGGGCTGGTAAGGTTTTGCGCGTTGTATCGAATACGGTCGGACACGGGCCGTCGCGGCAGTCGAGGATCTTGAGCACGCACTTTTGTTATTTTAGCGGGCCCGTCAAAATTTCTGCATGTTCGGGATGCTACTGAAATTCCTTTACCCTGCCCGCCTTGAAGAACGCAGGTCGAGGAGTTCGACGTGGATACTAGCCAATGGGTAATTAGCCCACGAGGCGGAAAGAAACCAGGGTGGCGGAGCTCGCTGTGGGGGCACAGTCTGCCACCCACCATCTGCTATGAGAGGTTCGAGTGTGAGTATGCCCACCAAGGCCCGCAAGCTGGTGAACTATGCCTGGGCGGGGCCGAGGGGCAACGGTAAAGGTTGCCGCAGTGCTAGCTGCGCGGCCCCAGTTGTCCCAGCAGCAGGCCACTTCGGCCTGCAAAGTTCTCATTTAAAGATTTGCTACAGCGGGGCCAGGGGGCACCGGTGGGAGGCTGCCGCAGTTTTAGCTGTGCGGCAGGCTATCCCAGCAGTAGGTGAGATGGAACCCGCCCCCACTTCAGCCTTCAAAGTTCTCATTTGAATATTTGCTACTACCGCCATGATCTGCACCAGGACCTGCGGGGTGGTGGAAGCCTGGGCAGCCATGGCCAGGGGATATAACGCCCGTTCACCTCAGCCTGCTGTGAAAAGTGAGAGGTTTGGGTGTGAGAAGGCCTGTGGGACCAGCAGATGCGGACCCAACTCAGTTGGTACACCCGCGAACTGCTGAAAATAGGCCTGTGGGAACTGCTGCCGGCGGGCCTAGCTCAGTGGGACCAGCTCCTGCGAACCTAGCTCAGACTGGTACACCCGCGGACTGTGTGAAACAGACCTGTGGGACCAGCACCTGAGGACCTAGCTCAAACGGATACACTCACGGACTGTGAAAAATAGGCCTATGGGAGCAGCCATGGGCGGGCCTAGCTCATTTGATACAAGCGCAGACCTGAGCTCGAACTCCACTAAAGGTGGGTGAATGGGAGCTAGCCCCGCATGCTGAAGTACCGCTACTTTTATTTATTTATTTATTTTTATTATTTTTATTATTTTACTTATTTCGTGAGGTGGGACTGGGACTTTGCCTCTGCCCCTGGATCCAAGGTGCAGGCGTTGCGGCAAGGTCGGTGCCCTCCCACTTGCTGCAGCGGTAGAACTGCCGTGACGGCCGAGCAATAGGCGGGGCGCTTGGGCGGCATCCATTCGGGACTGATTGATTCAGCAGGTGAGTTGATACACACTCCTTTGCAGATTCTTGACTTTAACGATCACCGGCCTGCGGTCTGTGCCCTTCGATACCCGTCTGCTGTACGGGATTGGCGCACAGTTTGGCAGTAGGTGGAGAGAGGAACAGGGCGAACGAACCTGGACAGGGATTTGCGCGGGGTGCATGCGGGGCGAGGGAGAAGGACAGCGACGGGAAGGAAGAAGGTATAGCGGGAGTGAAAATTATACAGCCCGCCCGTTCCTTGGTGGAATCAGGTGGGGAGAGAAGGTAGATAGGGGGTTTTGCATAGGGCGAATGCAATGGTAGGGTTAGTGTAGTCAGAGAGTTGGTGTAGGAGGAGTTAGTGGAGAAAAGTGGTGCACGGGAGATGACGGAGATGAAGAAAAAGGGGAGTGGGAATGTGTATCTCGCTCGTTTCCGGACTAAATCGGGCGAGGGAGGACTCGAATCGGGGGGGTTTGGACCTAACGACCCCGATTCTGAAGTCAGATTTAGTGGAAAGTCAGTAGATAGTGAGTTAGAAGAAAAAGGTGTGCGCGGAGGGGTCGAGGAGAAAAAGAGAGTGGGAGAGCAGGAGTAGAAACGACATAGCTCACTCGTTTCTCGATGAAAACGAGCGAGGGAGGAACCTAAACGGGGGTTTTGAGGCGCTGCGAAGTGAATGGTCATGACAAAATTGGATTTGGCCCTGCGGTCTCGCCGGTATGAGCAGCAGGGACAAAATTGGATTTGGCCCTGCGGTCTCGCCGGTACGAAGCACTGGGTCACGGTCACCATGCCAACCCACCGGGAGTAGAGCACGCATGCTTTGCTGCTTGTCCTTTGTTTGGCTTGCTGCGCTGTTAGATGGGTACTGAAGGGCAGGCCAGCCCTTAGGGGAGACGAGATCGGGCGTCTTTAAATAAGCACCGGAAGGGGAAACATTGGCTGTGATCGTCGTCCGGCTGCGACGAAAAATAATTCATGGAGTCACTTGGGGGCAGACGTTAAATTGCCTCTAGATCAACCAATGGTTGTAAGGCTCGCTGCACGCGAGGATAATCCAGTGGAGGGCTGGCGAGCTCAGCAGGTACTCGGGGCACAGGGGTGGGCCGAACACACCTTTTAGACACGCGACGCTCTCCAGATTGCTCAGGGACGATGACGTCAAGTGATACTCAGGGGAACTAAGGGAGGGGTAGATTTCAGGTGATAAATTCGAGAAAATTCCATGTTGTCCTATCCACCGAAATGATTCTATTTTTATGTTTTGATTAGTTAGGTGTACAACCATTGACATCTGACAGACAGCATTAGTTAGAACTGATTCTTGTTCATGGTGCTTCTGTTTGCGGACTAGTCAAACTAGAAATAGTTTTATTTGTAGGAATCTGACTTACCTGTTGGGCCCGAATGTAAAGTCTCCGAAATAGCCACCAGTTAATTGGTATGTGCACTACGTTGCGGTAGGCATCTAGAGTGCACTAGTGCAGATTGTGTACAGGGTTGTAGCTTATGAGCGACGAGGAGGACACTGGAGAGGACGATCGGCGGATCTTGCGATCGGCTAGACGCACAATTGCCCACTTGGCATTAGGACCAGAGGGCGACAGATATCTGTTCCGCCAACTTAGGGAGAGGCAGCAGCAGCAGAGGAGGGCTAGAGCAGCAGAGGCTAGCAGGGCACTTGTGAGTGAGGCCACAGCTTCGGAAGCCATGGCCACTTCTGCGCAGCAGACTTCTCAGGCCGGTAGTTCAGGGTCTGTCGGGTCAATGGTCGCGCAGACCCAGAGTCACTCCGCTGGCGTAATGGCAAGCCAACCACTAGTGTTGACGTCCGATGAGATCGCCATACAACAAGCAGCATTGCAGGAGGCACAACTACAAAAGGCGTTAGGAGATATAAAAGCGGAGACAATGATTAGAAGAAGGCCAGGATGCAACGGAGACAAGCAAACGTTAGTGAGTTAGAGGAGATGGACCTGACACGCGTGACTGATGAGGTGAGGATCGTACGGCCCTGCTGCGGAATGTAGTTGAGATGCAGGACCATCAAACAACCATCCTTCAGGACATCCAGCAAAGTCTGGCCCTGTTGGTTGGGCAAGCGTAGGCTACGTCGCCAATGTCCGGGCCTGGTGCCTGGCTCGTTGCACATCCTCCTCCTTTTGTCCCATCGATGACTGGGGTATCCCCATATGTAGCCCCATCATCGGTTGCGATCGTTTCCCTGGGCATGCCGCTATCAGGAGGGATCACAGCAGGATCTAGTTTGCAGGTTCTGGTACGGACAATGTTCACCCAATCTCCGTTGCAGGTTGCGGTTACCACACAGCCTGCACAACCGCAGGGTAGACAACCCTTGCAGCCAGTGCAGCCGCCTGTATCACAGGGTCCACAGCCCAGTGGGATGCAGGGACCGGGAAAAACACAGTGGGTAGCGAAGACGACCATCGCTGCTCCTAAACCCTTCACAGGGGATAAGAGAGGCGAAGACCTCGACACATGGTTGAGGGCAGTGCCAGTCTATGTTAGGTGTAAACTTACCCTGTCGCACGAAGAAGTGCTTGTGGCTGCCTCCTACCTAGAGGGTAGTGCAGCAAGATGGTTGAGTGGTTTAGTACAACTGCAGGGGTATGGTCATGACTTTCGCGCTTGGGCAGTCACCCAGAAATCGGATGACTTCCTTGAGCTAGTGGAGGAAAGGTGGCATGATCCTCAGGAGGCCCAAAGGGCCACTGGCGCGATTCTGACACTGCACACGCGGCAGTTCAAGTTAGTAAGGGAAGCCACCGACGCTGTTGAGCGTCTGATCTATGTCCCAAGGGTGCGCTATGAACCCCAGGTTCTACTCACCTCCTACCTGAGATGCTTCTCTTTGCCTCTCAGGAACCAGTTGGCAGGTGAGGCCAACATCAATATGCATAACTTTCCTTCGTTTAGCAAGAAGGCCCTAGACCTTGAGGCGAAGATAGGGCATGGACAGGCACCCACTACAGACGGAAGGAGGAAGACACTGCCTCCTAACTGGAAGGCGAAGGGGCGCATTATGTTTGTCGATAACGATGGTTCTACCATCGAATTAGACGACAACTTCCAGGAAGGAGTAGGTGCAGAGGCAGGCAGCGTGGAAGCTTCAAGGGGTGGAGTAATCGCTGCTGTAACTCAGAAAGGTAAGGCGACCGGTAGACGCCGAGGAGGCTCCCGGTCAAGGAGTCAAGTTGACCCCAATGCTCCCCCAGGGGAGAAGGCGGGTCTCACAGAGGACGTGTGGAGAGATCGGTACACACGGCACGCTTGTATTCGTTGTGGTCAATATGGCCATAATCAGTTCAAGTGCCGTAACAAGAAGGTGACCGACAAGATCCCGCTTGTGATGGGGCAGGCGGTAGGATCCTCCCATCTCGTTGGTAGCAACGTTGCCAGCACTTCAGGCACTGCTCAGGGAAACACGTCGGGCCAGTAGGAATAGTAGCTGTTCCTGCTAGGGTCGAGGTGGTGGAGACACCCTCACCATCCCGAGAGATGGCCCAAGCTACTGACTCCAGCGTCGTCTCGCAAACGCATTTAGACCCATCGAGCCTCTGTTTGATGAATGTGTTTGATTCCTTAGCGGAGCTAGAGGAGGAGTGGTCTAGATCAGACCCGGTAGCTTCTTGGACGTCCCTAGTCAAAGCCCCGAAGGGTGAGATGTTCGTCAGCGAGGTAGTCATTGATGGCCGCAAGGCCGGGGCCTATTATGACACTTGCTCGACAAGGAACTTGATTAGTCGCGCGTGCGTTGAGAGGCTGCATTTACAGGGGCGAGTGCAGTGCCTGAGTCGACCTCTGGAGTCGACCTGTGCCAACAAACAGCGCATGGTAGTCAACGGCTACCTCCAAGATGATGAGTGTTGTTTCCCGTACGCGGGAGGGGAATTGAGACATCGTGCCTCGTTCCTGGTGAGCGATGAACTCCCCATGGATATGTTGTTAGGTATGTACTACCTCTCTGTGGCACAACCCCAGTTTGACTGGGACAGAAAAGTGGTCAAGCACACTTTGCCAGGTGGAGGGACCGCCAAATTGCACAAGTTCAAAGCTAGTAGTCTGATCGAGTCCTATGGATGCATGTATGCGGCCGCATTCTATAACTATTATAAGCAAAATCAGGAGGAGGGTATGTACCTAGTTTATGTCTCTGCTGCAGGCGAGCCGGTGAAAATGCCGCGGAAGATAGAGGGAGTAGTTGCCAAGTACCCTGATCTATTTGAAGAGCCGACAGGGGTTGTAGAGAGGGAGGTCGTGCACGCAATAGAGATTATCCCAGGGTCTAGCATCCCGAAGGGTAGGATCTATCGGATGTCTAGGCGAGCTCGATGAGCTTCGCCGACAACTCAAGGAACTCGTAGAGAAGGATTGGATTTGGCCGACTGTCTCTGCTTATGGGTCTCCAGTATTATTTGTACCTAAGAAAAAGGAGGGAACTCTGAGGATGTGCATTGACTATAGGGACCTCAATGCCATCACTCTTAAGAATAGAGAGCCCCTACCGCGCATCGACGATTTGCTCGATAGAGTGCAAGGGTGTCGGTACTTCAGTGAGATAGATCTGAAGTCTGGGTACCATCAGACTGCAATCCGGCTTGAGGATCAACACAAAACCGCATTTCAGACCAGGTACGGTCTGTACGAGTTTGTGGTGATGCCTTTCGGCCTTTGCAATGCTCCTGGCACCTTTCAGCACGCTATGAATCGGATATTCCATGACTACTTGGATAAGTTTGTCATCGTGTACCTCGATGACATACTTATTTTTAGTATGACTATTGAGGAGCACGTTGCACACTTGGACAAAGTCTTTAGTCTCCTGCGACAACACAAGTTCAAGATCAACAGTGAGAAGTGCGAGTTTGGCCCCACCCGTGTCTTGTACTTGGGTCATGAGATATCCGCGGAAGGGTTGAAGCCCGATGATGCGAAGGTGGCCAGCATTCGTGATTGGCCACGTCCTCAGTCTGTGACTGAGATGAGATCTTTCTTAGGAATGACAGGCTACTATAGGACTTTCGTTAAGAACTACAGCATAGTGGCCGCTCCTTTGACTGATCTGACCGCCTTGACACCCCATGGGAATGGACTAACGAGTGTGAGGCTGCTTTCAGACATCTGAAGCATGCGTTGACGCACTACGAGGTCTTGAAACTTCCGGATCCTGATAAGCCGTTTATAGTCACCACAGATGCCAGCCAATATGGTAGTGGCGCCGTGCTTGCACAACAGAAGGGGCCAAAGTTGAGGCCTGTAGAGTACATGTCCAAGAAAATGTTGTCTCAGAAGTTGGCTAAGTCCACCTATGAGAAGGAACTCTATGTGGTTTACAAGGCTCTGACCCATTGGAGACACTATCTCCTTGGGAGGTTCTTCATCCTCAGGACTGATCATCAGACCCTGAGATGGATGAGAACTCAGTCGGTACTCTCTGACGCTCTCAAGCGTTGGATCGAAGTCATTGAGCAGTATGACTTTGACCCTCAGTATCTTAAGGGGGAGTACAACAAGGTTGCGGATGCCTTGTCACGTAGACCTGATTTCTTAGGTGCGCTGATCACTGAGTTCGATCTCACGGACAATGTTACTCAGTCTTTGGTGGAAGCCTATCGCGAGGACCAGTTCATGTTTGAAATCATACGTAGACTTGAGGCGAAGGACAAGAAGACTTCAGTCGAGTTTGAGTTGGTCAATGACTTGTTGTTCCTTGAGAAGGCAGGGAATAAACGTTTGTGTGGCCCTAATAGCAACTCTTTGCGTAATTTATTTTTAGGCGAGTGTCATGATGCCACCGGCCATTTTGGGTACAAGAAGACCGCAGCTAATCTGCTGCAGCGGTTTTGGTGGCCGACAATGATGCGAGATGCCCAGCTGTAGGTGGAGACTTGTCAAGTCTGCCAGAGGGACAAGCCACGTACGCAGGCTCCTCTTGGGCTCTTGAAGCCCCTTTCGATTCCGGAAAGGCCTGGCGAGAGCTTGTCCATGGACTTCATGGATACGCTGATAACCAGCAAGAGTGGGATGAGACACATCTTCGTTATCGTGGATAGATTTAGTAAATATGCTAGATTAGTGGCAATGTCGGAAACAGTAAGGACGGAGTATGTCATCAGAATGTTCAAAGAGAACTGGGTTAGGGATTTTGGTTAACTGAAGTCCATTATCAGTGACAGGGATGTCCGATTTACAAGCGAATTGTGGAAGGTCATTGCTGTAGAGCAAGGAACTCAGTTGCAAATGACTTTTGGGAATCACCCAGAGCCCAACGGCCAGGCCGAGCAACTGAATCGCCCAATACAACACCTGTTGAGGCATTGCATCAAGCCCAACCAGGTGGACTGGGATGAGAAGCTTGCTCTCATCGCCAGTCTGTACAACAATGTTGTACACAACGCCACCGGGGTGAGCCCGAACAGTTTGCTATCGACTTTCAAGCCTAGACTACCCTTAGACTTTCTTCTTCCTGAGAACCAGTCAACTGTTGCACCGGGTACCTTAGAGTTCGCCTACAAATATGAACAAAAGATGCAGCAGGCGATAGAACAAATGCAGAAGGCACAGGCAGCAATGATAGAGTCAGGGAATAGACACCGCCGACCTTTTACGTTTCAGGTTGGGGACAGATTTTGGGAAAGTCCTCAGAACTGGGACAGGAGTACGGGATTTCCCATAAACTCATGCCACAATACTTTGGGCCATGGGAAGTCTTAGATATCGTTGGGACTGATCCAGATGGACCATCTTATGTCATCCGGATCCCTGGTCATCTTCGTACTTACCCTGTCTTTCACGCCTCCAAGCTTTCACCGTTCAAAGAAACAGATCAGTTTCCATCTCGTCGTTCAATGCTGCCCCCAACCATGGACGGAGAAGTGGATATCGATGATATTGTGGATCACAGGGAGCTGCCAGCGTCAAGACCAACAGGCAGGGGACGCCTTCCGAAACCGAAGCTACAATATTGCGTTCGGTTCCGGCATCACACTGATCCGAAGGAGGACCGCTGGTTCACCAGGCAGGAACTCATGCAGACCGCTCCTCAAGTTGTAGCCCATTACAAGAGATCTCTCCAGAACGGAAAGCGCCCCATGATTGAAGACTGAGCTTCTCAAGGGACTGTTGAAGCTAAGGAGGAGGGAATGCGAGGCCACAGCCTGTATGAGCCCCATAAGGCCCCATTTTGTAGCCAGTCGGCCGCCCTAAGTGAAGGCAGGCTCGACGAGGCCCTCAGGGCCCTATTGTGGCCATCACGCAACTCAGGGAAATTCTGGCAATTGCGCAATGCCAGTTGGTTGAGAGAATCCAGGCCCTGGGCCGCCTGTGTGAATGTATGGAAAGCAGGCCCTGGGCTGGATACGGGTACCGGGCCAAACACAGGCCAAGGGCAGTTGGGTGCATGCAACCACCTCAGGCCCAAGGCCTGTTCTCGTACGTGTTGGGCCTCAGGCTATGAGGGCCTACTGGAAGTTTCCTGGGACTGGACGCAGGCAGGCCACTTCGATATAGCAAAGGGCCTGCCTCCGGATTCGGCAATTCGGGTGCTGGCTGCATGTTGCGCAAGCGCTGCTGCGCTATTTGCTGGTTGGCGCCTACGCGCTCACGGGCAAGCAGGGAAGGATCAGGCAGCCATAGCCGAGCTGCGCTGCTGTAAGTTGGGTGGCGCAGGTTGGTCCTTGGGTGCAAGTGGCATCTGTGTGTTGGGGAACGAGGTTGTGCGTAAGGCGAGAGACATACCTGGTGCTGGAAGCGTGCGACATTGGTCGTTGTATGCTCGTACTTCGGGAGAGTTGTTGTCGTCAACTTTGGCATTGTAGTATAGGCTAGATAGGATCTGCCACATGTAGTCTGGGCGCCAAGCGCCAGATAGGATATCAACTCTGGTTCTTCGTTGATGATGATGATGGGACTATTTCAGCATTGTCAATTATGAACTCTTGGTGTGTTCTTATTTGGTGAAACTCGTGATGCAATTTTGCTGTTGGTTCGAGGTCCCGACTATCTGGACTCATATGTATGATGCTGTTTGATTGCTGAAGTTCGCTATTGCTCATCTTCCTTGCAATTTGGTATCGGAGTTGTGGTACGATTGCGCTCATCTGGCGCTTCTCTTCTGCCTAATGTGGTACATACATGCGGTCTACTTGGTGAGTTGGATCGTAAGTGGTGTGTAGTGAGGAGGGCAGAGGCGAGTGAGTGGCGACCCAGGAGGTGAGGGGATCGGCCACGAGGTGTAATGTGGTCTGGACAGTGTGATGAGAACTATCTAATGTGTGATTGGTGCTGAGGTGGAACGACGTGCAATACTGGTTGTGCCGAAAAAATGACTGGTCATCACAATCGGCATCAGGTCATCTGGTGAGATTATCTCTGTGGTTGGGGGTAGCTATTTGAGGTACGTTGCTCTTAACCTTATCTACCCTCTTCGACACTTCTTACCGTGAGGTTGTGTCTTCCTTTTTGAGAGTCCTCTCATTGTGAGGTGTCGAGTGCGCTCAACCTTGAGAGTCGACAATGTTCACGTGGAGCATCTGGGAGAAGATGGGTGGAGCTTTCTGAAGGGCCCTGGACGAAGCACTGGGTCACGGTCACCATGCCAACCCACCGGGAGTAGAGCACGCATGCTTTGCTGCTTGTCCTTTGTTTGGCTTGCTGCGCTGTTAGATGGGTACTGAAGGGCAGGCCAGCCCTTAGGGGAGACGAGACCGGGCGTCTTTAAATAAGCACCGAAAGGGGAACCATTGGCTGTGATCGTCGTTCGACTGCGACGTAAAATAATTCCTGGAGTCACTTGGGGGCGGACGTTGAATTGCCTCTAGATCAGCCAATGGTTGTAAGGCTCGCTGCACGCGAGGATAATCCAGTGCAGGGCTGGCGAGCTCAGCAGGTACTCGGGGCACAGGGGTGGGCTGAACACACCTTTTAGACACGCGACGCTCTCCAAATTGCTCAGGGACGCTGACGTCAAGTGATACTCAGGGGAATTAAGGGAGGGGTAGATTTCAGGTGATAAGTTCGAAAAAATTCCATGCCGTCCTATCCACACAAATGATTATATTTTTATGTTTTGATTAGTTAGGTGTACAACCATTGACATCTGACAGACAACATTAGTTAGAACTGTTTCTTGTTCATGGTGCTTCTGTTTGCGGACTAGTCAAACTAAAAATAGTTTTATTTGTAGGAATTTGACTTACCTGTTGGGCCCGAATGTAAAGTCTCCGAAATAGCCACCAGTTAATTGGTCTGTGCACTACGCTCCGGTAGGCATCTAGAGTGCACTAGTGCAGATTGTGTACAGGGCTGTAGCTTATGAGCGACGAGGAGGACACTGGAGAGGACGACCGGAGGATCTTGCGATCGACTAGACACCCAATTGCCCACTTGGCATTAAGAGCAGAGGGTGACGGATATCTCGATCATGTTTTGCGATCATGTTTTGCCTTTGAATAAGTTCTCGATCATGTTTTGTGCGAAACAAAGTTGGCCATAGCAAACTGCAAAGACCTAAGGCGGCCAAGAAGGTCGCCTAGATTAAAATGAAAAATTGGGTGTGTGTGAGAGAGGGGGCCCCAAAAAGACTAAGGGTTGTATATGACAAAATGCATAGACTGGACAAAGGAAAGACATGTATGATGTATGCGACCACGAAAGTTACGAGTAGGATGGCCAAAGAAGGATGCGGGCGAAGCCCTAGGGAGGCGTAGGGCGACCGCGAGACATGGTCCGCGGGCCCGAGGCGAAGGGCGGCCGCACGCTCGACAAGGTTTGAGAACTCTCGCTTAGTGAATGCATGCGTGGCCCAAGGATGACGCCTGGCCTACGCATAAAAGAAGAAAGACTTTCAATAAACTCCCTAGACTACTTGAGCATTGGAAGGAGCAACTGCATGATAACACCTCAAAGCATCACGAAAAAATCGCAATTGACGAAATGTTTTGGTGAGTCTACCATCCGGCGAAAGGGCGGAGCTACATCGCCAATGTCGAAGCTCTCTCGCGAAATGACCCATCCCCATCCATCTCAAAGCACTAGGTGGGGGTGCCCCTGTGACGAACGCTCCGCGCCCTGAGCATGAGTGCGGGCGGAGCAGAGCCATCTGGGACCCGCAGTGGGGTCAACTCAGGCTCGAAAGTCTAACAGGGTACGACCCTACATCGTGCTATTTGTTTAGCAGACGTACCAGGCTCCCTCATTTAAGACACTTACGTCTAACGAAAGCTTTCAGCACTTTTTCAAACATTAGCGCAGGGTACCGCTGGAGTCGGAGCTCGCGTTTCAGCGTTAGCAGTGGTTCTTCTACTCTGATCGTTTCAGTCGTGCTATGCCTAATCCTGTGGAGCATTCAATGGATTAAAACCCTTTTTTCTTCTTCAGGGAAGTAAATGAGCAGAAATCTTGAAAGCTTTTGTACCTGAGCCGGATCCCTCCCTCCCAGATTTCATCGATTTTTTTTGCTCGGAACCAGCTTTCGACCCTTTCCCCTACGATCGTCACCCGCTGTCGGGACCTGTGGATCCCGCATAGCATGGGGTTAGGAGGGCCATTCGAATTCGGGATGGCAAGGACCGGAGGGGCCATGAACTGAGCAAGCAGGGCGCAACAGATGACAAGAGAATAGTGGAACCGAAAGGTGGACAACCCTGGTGGCGGTGGGACACTAGAAAGTAAGGGCCACAACGGGGTACCAAGGCCATATGGGAAGGGGGCCTTGACGACCGGAGAGCACTAGTGAAAGAAGGGACAAAGTGTCGGGGACCACCGACGGGATTAAATGTCGGGGACCACCGACGGGACAAAGTGTTCGGGACCACCGACGAGACAAAGTGCCGAAGACCACCAGGCGGGACAAGTGCCAAGGACTAGCATGGGACAAGTGGCGGGGACATGAGAAGGTCTCAAGAGGAACTGCGGAGCGGCATGAGGGAAAAATAATTGAAGCAAGATGCACCGTCAAGATCCGGATTTTGACGACCAAGAATATTGGCACCACTATTGCAAGTGGGAGCAAACGGGTAGACCAAAAGGAAAAGAAAAAGAAAAGAAACATGAAGGAGGAGGCATGGGAGCAATCCGA